GTGGCGAAACACCCAAACTTTTCACGGAGATGCTCCTGTTGCACACTCGGCAGTAGGCCGACGAATTATCGCCGGCAACTTTACCGACCCAATCACGGAATTCCGGCTGTTCCCGCCACCCCCCTTGAAAGTGACATTGTCCCGGCATATTTGTCTGTCTGTCACTAGCTGAGGATGTTAATTTCGATGAGTAGCTAATTCCAGAAAATACAGGTACCCGAAATGACCCGAAGTGATCACGTGATCATCATCGGAACTGATCGGAGACGGCGAAGGCATGTAGCTCGACAGCGGGGTTTGAGGGGAACGCGCCAGGCGCATTTTACGACAAAACTATGGAATATTATACTATTGGAAGGGTGGACAAAATGACATACACAAATGAAATGAACACCACAGGTTGATTTTTATGGGTTTTTATGGATTTTAGAAGTTTTTCCTGAAAATGTTGGACAATTATGTACATCATTTTACAACTTTTTTTTTTTGATTTTTATGTACTTTATGGACCCGTACGAACCCTGTTATATAGTACAAAATACATGTAATTTTGTATTTATAAATAACTAATCATATATTGCAATTTTATTGGACAATATATTAGTGATATATGTAAAGATATATGATCAATATATGATACAATGTATAAATATTATATGGGAATATATGTCACAACTATATACAGATACGTTTAATTAATATGATACAATACATTGTAAATACATGTGAATTATATGGAAACATTATAAAAATATATGAGCAATATTTTTAAATTAAACACAAACTAATGGGTATATCAAAAGTCACCATATATTTTTCATCAGCTCAAAAACAAATTCTGACAGTGCAGAGGTAGAGGGGTAAATATTTTCAGTGCAACATTAAATGGTGAAGATTCTTAATAGAGGTTCTACACCTTTTGCATCACTACAACACCCTTAACAAAATAACTGAGTGGATAACTAACATGATAACATAAATAGCAAGTTGTGCATTGAGGAGATTCCACACAGAACACAGACAAAAATCTTGCTCGTAACCCTTTATCCACTTGTGAATAATCCATTTAGTGTAAACTTTAACAAAGTGTGCAACCTGCACATAAACATACACACAAACTGTGCAAAATAAGTACAAAATGTGAATAACCACTACAATCAAACCTCGGTTTTCGAACGTCTCTGTTCTCAACCAAATCGATTTTCGACCCAAAATTTCGAGTTTTTTATGCCTCGGTTGACGACCGAATTTCGGTTCTGAACAAACTTAGCACACTTGAATGCATCACTTGACTCCTCTCGCCTTCCTAACACGAGGAAGTGACGTTTCCTCGATTGGCGTTCCATGGTGAACAGACGTGTTAAATAAAGATTTTTTTTTTTTTTTTTTAAAAAGAGTGTGGTTTTGGTTCTCACACTTTCATTTGCTGTATAACCAACAGGAAAGTTCTCCCTCCTGGCAGAAATGCATTTAGCTAGAGTACAGCCAACTCTGAACAATTTACCTTGCAAAGCTTGAAGTTTCCTTGGGTCAAGAGCCTGCCGCCGCTCAGCACTGGGATCCAACTTGCTGAACCCGCCTTTAAGGTTGGACTTGATGAGGACTTCAAGATCAAAGAGCCCCATCAGTAGCGCCGTGCCATACCATTGGCTGTGGTACAAGTTTTTGCAGTCTCCCAGCAAAGTGATGAAACAGTGACACCTTCATTCTCGATTTTCACCTTATGTAAACAAAAGCAATATAAAACCATGAACAAGGAAACAAGTAAAGTCAATACAAGTATTACAATGCATAGATGAGGGAAAAAAAAAAGCTTCAAAGAAATTTGATGCCAGTAATATGTTAGGTTTTAATGTTAGAGATTTAATAATTAACAAATAGATACTTGTAAAGGTGCAAAGTGGTGTTTCACCCAAGCCATCACTCTCAGCATCAGGTCCATCAGCATGTTTGGTAGGATGGTTGTCAACTTCGGTGTTGGTGGTGTTAATGGTGACAAGTTTTCTCACCTCAGAGATTTAATAATTAACAAATACATACTTGGAAAGGTGCAAAGTGGTGTTTCACCCAAGCCATCACTCTCAGCATCAGGTCCATCAGCATGTTTGGTAGGATGGTTGTAAAAGGGGTCTATCATTAAAATTATAATAACAGTAACATACTGTATTATGGGATTGACAGAGACTTTATGTACATTGGCTGTATCATGTTTGCTGACCTTGGGCTCATTTACAGTTTTCCAACAACCAAACATCAAATAACATGTCAGTTAGAGTTATGGCAGTGCACAGTAATCGGTCATTTATTTAATTTAATTAATTTGGAATATTTTGAGTAATTTTAAGTAAAATTATCTCCCAATGGAATGAATATTTCTGGACAAGTAAAAAGTACTTACAATAACAATAAATAT